GTTGAGCGGTATGACGCATAGACAGAGGTTACCAAATAACTTGTCAAATATCCAGGACATAATTTGCTAGTTTAGGTTATTATCTGGTAGTGGATTCAATTGCAGCACTTTGCATTCCATGCCCAGGTCAATGCCCAGGTCTGCACGAGCTGTATTGGAATTGTTGAATTGATTCTGAATTGAGTGGTGAACGGTTATGTAAATGACGAGTCCAGCAGTTACCCCAACGCATACTCTGTGGTCCCTCAAGCCTTGGCTCTTGCCAACCTGCGCCTAGTACTTTTCAAAATTAGGTAAGCAGGATGTGTCCCTCCAGGGAGAGAGTGCGCATTCCATTCCAACAATTTTTTCCCTGGTATTTTCCCGTGTGGTTGGGATGCATGGAATTTTCAGTTTGGTTTGGATACTCTTAAGCATGGTGATCGGTTTCCCCACATGTCAGACACTTGGCTGACCAACAAAATTGCCTCTTACATTGCTTCATGTAAGGTGCTGGTGATTGTACCTACATGTAGTTACCACCAACATATGGACTTAGTACCAACACATCCTACAATTCTAGCACTGAATTTCTCAATGAACTTTCAGCAATTTATATGTAATCTTTGAGCTGGCTATCTGACAGTGTTTTTTTTAGATTATAACAATAACTTCACGTGGGTAGCATCTTGGAGCCTATAAAGAGTATACTTATTATGACCATATGCAATATTTTCACAATCCCTCACCATGATATTTCACACCATTAGAAGTAAAAACAATGTTGTCTCTGTGTGAAACTCACCTACGTCTCAGTGCCATGTTCAGCACTTCAAACACTTGACAGTTTAAAGGGAATCATATAAGCACCTAAAATAATCACCGCCCCCTCCCCTTCAGCCTGATATATATAGCTTGTCAAATATCCAGGACATCATTTGATGGCATTGACTGCATATAAAATGCTCTGCACCGCAGTGTCATTCACATTATTCATTCGTAAGTCTGTTGTTGACATAGATGGATATCAACAGAATGTGAAGCTTGAAGAAGGTAAATTCTGCTCCTGTATAAACCAAGTCCTAATGAAAGGTGGTAAATATCCTGTAATTTGGGACAGTATATCCAGCTTCATTTTATTGTTTGTTAATGATTGTCCTTCTTTGCCCTCAGTAACATTGCTGGATTTTACTCCAATAAAAATGACAGAAAAATAGGACGAAGGAGAAAGTTAATTTGCTGTGAGATAATGGACATGTTTTACTTATATTTTGGTAGAAACCTAGCCCTGTTTGCACAGATTACAACAACAACAACAACAACAAGATTCCATTTATAAAGCGCCTTTCACGTCAGGAGGACGTCCCAAGGCGCTGAAATGTAATTACAATGTAAACAATGTGAGATTCTGGTGATCATATTGGGATTATGTATGACATTAAATTCATATTCACCAGATTCGTAACAAGAGAAAACTGAACTACAAGAAAACAAAGCTGCCATCACGGTGTCATAATATTTCATGATCTAAGAATAGGATCCACTTTAGATGACAAGGGACTAAGGGAGTAGAGAATTTACTGCAGCAACATTAGGAAACTCAGTGTTGCCATCAGGAAGTTCACTACCACCCAAATCTTCTATCACTCAAATATATTTGAGGTCCACTCTGCCTGACAGGTGGACTTTTATACGTGGCCTTTGGCAAGAATTGGGTTAACGGCCTTCTCTTCACACAAAGGGAAAGGCCTTACAGCACCATTGGAAGGAATATTTTAAAATAGAATAGAGATCACCTTTCCTTTCATGAGGATAAAGGATATTATTCCTTTTTAGTACGAAACCTGCAGCCCTCGACCCAACTCATTCTCAGAGGAAGGACATTACTATGACAGTGTTCATAGAATACTAGCAAAGCTTCAATAAACGTGTAATTAGTATGTGTTAGTAAGTGTAGTGTGTCCGTGGAACTGTATAAAAAATTTAAGAAGATAAAATATTTCAGATTACATTCGAGCTAAGGACAATGTTTTGATTTGTATTTTCTTCATATTGATCATCGGTTTGAAACATGCCGTTTTATGTTAATCTGGGGTTGCAACATTAAGCTTAAGTTTTTAAAAAGTGAATGTCAACATTAACATTAATACTGGACCCTCAGCTTATTTTGTCCTGCTGACATCATGTGACACTGGATCAGATTCAATCCTAACATAATTTTCTTCCTTTCCCCTACCAACTCATTTTCGCCATGTTCAATGCAGTGTCAATTGTTCATGTTGTTTAGTCTTGGAGCTTTCAAACCATTGATTTCCGCTTAGGTTCCCCACAATAGTGCTGCTGCAAACACACAGTTGAATGCCTGTGAAATTAGTACTTTATTTAAAAATTCCCTTTCAAATCAGGTGAAATATTTTGCTGGTGAAACGCACGTGTGCTGAAACATCCCTGCAACAGAATGAAATAGGGGACCTTTGGAAGTCATTTTTGACCTAGATATTCTCACATTAGTATAACTGGCTTCCCTACCTTTAATGTTTCCATTATGTGACTCATCCAACTATGCTGTCTAAACTACGTAGATTAAAAGATTTAAAATTTATAGGTACCATTAAAATCAATTAAAGTCATAAAGACTGATACAATACATCGGACAAAGTATGATATCATTAACATACAATACAGTTACAATCACTTAATGGTTCAATTAAATATGTGAGTCACATTTAAATAGCTGCCGAACCCATTAAGCCCCATCTTTCATAATGAATTTCTGAAATAAGTTCATTTTTTGGTAGTTCTCTGTTTCAGTATTTTCTACTTAACATCATCAGCTTTCTCTTTCCTTTAATACTGTAATCCTCATCTGTTCTGCTATTACTCTCTTTATCTTTTTATATATATTTTTAACCGATTCTTGCTCTCAATTTTTCTGCCACCCTGTTGGCCTGTTTTCTCCATTTCATTCTCATCTGTCACTGGTCATCGTTTCCTTTGGGTAATCTCTAACTATTTATTTTTCTTGTCAATCCTCTATCTTGCCTCTTTCATCTGTCTCTTTCTTTAACCCCTGACGTGCTAAAGAAAAATCTGCACCGAATATAAAACATGTGATAGCGAGTCTGATCTAATTGCTTCTGATATTTGCATTCACCTAACAGATGGCTACCGTCACAAGCTCCACCACAAACAGCTGCTCAACAATGGAAATTGTGCTTGGGCTATGACTGTACTATTGCAGATGTGCTCATGCTATTCTGCAGCAAATAAGTTCCGTAAGATTTTTAAGCACAGTATGTGTGACTTGAGCTAAGTATTATTTCAAGAGAAAAATTACTGTTTGTTTTAATTCATTACTAAAAAGATTACGTTTGAATTGTTTTACTCCTAAACATTGAGCCTACTGTATTATACATAGTAGTATTCTAAAGGTGTGTGGGTGTGTGTATATAATTGCTACATTTGATGTAGTGCCTTATTACATCAAAACGTCATAAAGTGCTTCATAGAATTTTCTGTAAAGTGTAGTTTTGCATTTGCAAAAGTATACTTTGTGATCAAATTTAATTCAACTGAAGTGAGGCATGTCCAGCGCCAGAAAATGTAATGCTTTTTCACCTTTGCTCTTTGATGTCAGTATCGTTCCCACATCAGTTTTGTCAAAGACAGATTCAGAGCACAACTCTCTCTGATCTGCCCAAACATTGGCGCATATTTTTCAAGAGTCATAAGTTTCTACAAAGGCTTTCTTTGAACAGACATGGTACTAATTGGAAAATAGCATGGTGTTAATATTATTTTAATTTGTATTAACCAGTTATATAATCTGCCCAATTTTGCTCACTGGTAAACACTTGAGGACTTCAATCAGCAATCAGCCAGTTATTGCGGCTTGATGCAGTTAACCTGAGCCTAGGTAGGTGCATGTGTCATCGCGTTTGCTTTGTGTTCTGTAGTGCAATGATTACTCTTGATCTTCATCTGCAGGAAGAAGAAAGTATACATTTGCGTGACTGACCAATTCCTTTAACGATATTAAAATATAATAGTATATTTTACCATGAATATCATACATTTTACAGTTTCTTATTTCTGTTAATTTTTGATATTCTAAATTATATGCATTTTGAATGCAGGGAAACCGTAGGTTTGGATGATACTTCCCTGAGTCCTTTGGTGGTGTCTCCTTTGTCGACTTCACAGACATTAAGGCTCTCTAGACAGTATAGCTCTGACGCACTCTAAGCTCTTTCAGCTGCAGGGTTCTTGCGCCTGTCACTTATCTTGACTGGTGTTTGAACACAACTTTCTCTTTTTCTGGCATATTACATCACAACATCAATGCACCTCTATCTGCTGAACATCTTCCTCTCAGGCCTCCCTGCTTGTCCTCAGGTTAAGGGTGCCGTCTCTAATGCCAAATAATGAGCCCCTCCTGGTTATAATATCTTTCACCATTATATTTACCTCTATTTCCCTAAATCTAGTTTCCCTGTTTACTTGGTCAAATCAACCTGTATCTGTAGCTCTCGCACCAGCATTACCTTACAGTTTCTCATAGAGGTTGAGTGTTTTGTTCTCAGCTAGTTGAAGTGCTGAATTTGTCTTTATTACTAAAGTACTTGGTTTCCACTGACTGGATGACTTACATTAATTAGTGTTGGCAGTAATTTGAGACATGGTGGAGCTGTCTGAGGCACACTTATTTCTACAGTCTGAAAATACTTGAAGGTATCCAACAGCATGTGAATGTACTGCAAGGCTAGTTCACTGTATGGTATGTTGTAGTACAATAGTATTTCAGTACTCTATTCCTGATTCATTACACTGATCAAAGCTCGTCTGTTCAAACTATTTTTCATGTCATTCTATGATTGCTAATGAGTGACTGAGATCTGCTGAGTTTGTGACATGAATGGAATAGTACATTAGAGCTTCACTCTTATTCTTTATGTCATAATAAGAGAATCCACATTAAATTATTCTCAGGTCTCTAACATGATTACATTCTCTGCATGCAGTCTCCAGCAGACCAATGCAAGAAGATTCATGCAGGAGATGAAGTCATTCAAGTCAACCATCAAACTGTGGTAAGTAGTTTAAAATTTTATAAGAGTTTATCTGTCAATTGGTGACTGAGCTTCCTTTCGTCCTGATTGTGTCTAATTGCACATTTTTATCCTGCACATACTTGACTGTCCTTGGGTCATCCTCCCGATGTGAAACTATACAGATGTAATTTGTTGTTGTTGTTGTACACCTTTATCTCAATCCATCAATGACAAGATCATGGGTGAGAAAATCCTCAGTTTGTTAAAATTAGCAATCCTGCTGCAGTTTATAAAGAGGTTTTAAGTATTGAATGCTTTGAACTAATGCACAGGTGACATGATCTGTGTTAGCCTGGTGCAGTGGTAGCACTGTCACCTCTGAATCAGAAGGTTGTGAGTTCAAACTCTGTGTTAGATCTTGAAATCACATTGTGTAAGCTGGGACTCCAATGCAGGGCTGGGGGTATGTTGCATTGTTGGAGGTGCCATTCTTCGGATAAGATGTTAAACCGTAGTCCCATTTGCCTGTTCAGTTGGAGATTAAAGATCTCTTGGCACTATTCAAAAAGAGACCAGATTTTCTCCCGGTGTCCTGACCAACAAATCCCTGAAGTAAAATTGGTCACTCATTCCATGGCTCTTTCTTGGACACTACTGCATGCAAAACTGGCTGCCACATTTCGCCCACAAAATGCACAGTCGATCTACTTTACACTATATCCGCTTTGAGACATCTCCATACAACGATTATTGTAACTAAATTCTGGCAAAAAAATCTACTGAACAGCACTATAAAATAGATTTTATGGTGCTGTTTAAGGATTGTTTAAGCATTCAGCAGAATTCTACAGCTAAAAAGGCTTTTCAAGCCAGGTTAGATTTTCTTTTGGTGAGTTGTTGAAGGAAAACTAAAGTTTGTTAAAATTACCATTACCCTAAATTTCTATGCAACTGGTACTTTTATAGCACTGTTGACTTTTCAAGAGTTCAGATAACCCATTGACTAGACAAATTCAGACATCTGTACACCCAAATGTCATTGAGTGGCATACCTGAACTGCAAATGCTTTCACTTTCTACACAAGACACGCATCGTTTTTCTCATCATAATCTAACATTGGATATCTATGTGAGTCTGACCCCTCTTTATGATCGTATACTGATGAATGTATGTTTTTAAAGGAAAGCTAGAATAAGAATACTTGGAAAAAAGTATCAGCACATAGTATTCAATTTTATATATTATACACCAAATTGAGGTATTGAATAATATTTGTATCACTGCTGCTTGGTTCTGTTCGCTACCTTTGAAGAGAACATTGTCACATATTTTGCTGAAACGATTTTCTGCACTCTGAAGAAAATCCTAAAAAGGATAGAGCTGAATGATCAATGATTTTATTAAATATTTACTATGTAAACTGGACAGAAAAATCAAACGATTTCACTAAAAATCTTAAGTAAGAAAAATATACAGAATAATGTAAGACAATACCAAGGTTCCATTAACAAAAAAAACACCGCTGTGTGTTACAGATATAGTGTTTCCATTAATTTACCTGAGTTGAATTAAATCAATATAACGTTTTATAACTACCAGCATATCCATTAACAGCTTGGAATTATTTGTGGGGCTTGATTCAGTGGATAATCAATATCCATCCTGTCATTCTAGCTCAGCTGTAATAAATGCTCTTCTTCTATTTATAGCTGAAATGTACCTTTTCAGCATTTTGAAAATACGGCATTGATTACCACAGATGCTTTGGTATATCAGTAAAATGTATGTTCAAATTTAGAAAGGTCACCTTATCTTCGCAAAATACACTTGCTGGAAAAATAAGTCATAGAGCACTATGGCTATAAGTTAGAAATCTTGCTGGTTTGGAGTTTATTTGGATACAACAGCATCTGCAGCCATGTAAGAGCTTGCAATCCTGACTTGTTCAATATCCTGTATCCATATTTCAATTCTGCAGTCAACAAACTAAAGTGAGCATTTTAATGCAAAAATGATACTGTACTCCCGAGACATCTCAAGCATTATTGTAAATATGGCACAATAGCACTTGGTAAAGGATGTACTCAATATGACAGTTATACAGGCAGATCATTAGTACTGTACATTTGGAAAATCTAGATCTCTTGACTGCCTGTATAAATCCCATTGAAATATCAAATTCTTATCTATTATTTATGAACGTTCGAAGGTTATCTCAGCTACCCACTATGCTACTTATGCCCAAGTCCTACTTGCTCCAAGTACACCTGTGTGCACCAGTGATGGTATGATACTATTCCATCATTGTGTTCTCTTTTGCTCACGAAAATGTGACACGTGATAATTTGCTAGGTGACAGTGAATGTTCAAACAGCAAATGAACTTGAATGATACAGTACTAAAACCCTAAAACAAAAACCGTATTTATTTGTTCTCAGTCTTCTTTACTGCACATGATTTGTAATTGATAAGGTAACATTTTTCATTCATGCTTTGCGTTTACTTATCTGACATTGTAAGTGTAGAATTAAGCTTCTAGGACACTTGCATTAGAATGGCCATTGGGAAACTGAAATAAGGGAAATAAATACATAAAAGTAAGATGCAGTTTGAAAGTGAATTGAATTCTGAAAGAGCAAGTCAAGGAAACAATAATGGCATTACAAACAAAATAAAAATGTGCAATGGTTCAATCAAGAAGTGCAATGAAAACGGTTTGAAATGTGGCTTCATATTTCTTGAATGTGACAGTCAAACTAAGCCCAGGGTGCAAGTTGTAAGGAAGTGTCATCTAATAAATCAATTAAACCATTGAAGCTGGCATAACATCAGACAGTGGCAGATTTGGAGGGTAAGCCAGCTGAATAGTTTGAGTGGAAGTGCTGAAGAAAAATTTGCCAAAGGGTTTCATATTAAACCTTGTCATTGTGCCAGAGAAAGCTTCCTGTCATCGAAAATTGCTCAGAAACAAAAGGCCTCACTCAATTGACAAACAGCTCATTTTGCCAGCAGCTTGTGATATCTGAAACCATGACTACCACTGAAGCTATATCCAAGTGGACAGTGAATCCCTGTTCATCACAGGCACTCACTGAGTTCGTAATCTATTCTCAAAATCCTAGTGGTTGATTGAATTTAGGTTAGGCCTGAACAAGCCAGTTTGGGATTTCCCTTATGTTTTCTGGATTCACAGATTTGCTTCTGTGGCATTCTTGCATTTAAAGATAATTATGGATCCAAGTGAAGTTTGATATTCACTGAGTTGTTCATAATATCTAAAATCTGGGGCATTATTGAGTTCTGACATCTGAGTGAGTTATTTTGGTTCGATGCAGTAGAGGTCATGTATGATATCACACATCAATTGTTGCCTTTCTTGTTAATCTCTGAACTGAATTGACCTGAATATTACTAGTGCGGTTGAAGCCAAATCTATCACATTCAGCGTTCATTCAAGTCACAATAATGAGCCATGTATTTGGTGGTTCATGGTGGAGGAAAAAACAGCTAAAGCAAAGCAGAAGTTGATTAGGATTTTTAAGCTGAAATCATGTCAGTACTGTTGTCACAATCTTTTGCGCTGAAATTTCAGTCAGCGATAGCGGTACAGATCACAGTTTCAAGAAGACGTGGAGGGAGATACGTTTGTGGTAGTAAAAAGATGAAAGGTGGTCAGATTAGTCCTGAAGCAGGTCCTGGAACTGAGAGAATATTGGGTGAGCTAAACTGTGTCTTCTTTGATGCTCTCAGTGTTATCATATTACTGTATTTGATTTTCTTAGATTCAGTGAAATAGTGAAGTGATTAAAAAGCTTGTTTCTTTTTCAAGTTAATATTTCCTTAAAAAGCCACAATGATCGAGTGAAAATCCAGATGGTTATCCTTGTAATTGAAAGTATGAAAGTCATAGTATGAATTTGCAGCTCTAGTCTAAACCCCAACTGTACAATAATACACATGAAATATTTATACTAACTCAATGCTTATTCCACAACATCATTAGCCAATTTCACTGTTCTCTTTCAATGTAAAGTGTTTTTTAAAAATTTACATCATATAGTTTTCATTCTCTTTTCCCATAGCACCTTATAATTTTGATTTATTACACATCCATCCTGAGTTCTTGCCAAATTTTAGATATACTTTTGCAATGTAATTCTATTGGATTTTTATTATATTACCTGGAGCGTTAGCACTCTAATATTCTATTCTAGTTGGAAAGAGCACAGGATATTTCAGTGGGTTAAGACTATTTACCTCTTGGCTTGGGTTTGAATTTGTTCCAGACTAATGAGATGAAGACCTCCCACCCTGCTAAATATTAATGGTTCAAAGTCTCACTTTATTTCCTTATCCGCAGGACAAAATTGCCCATAATTGCCAATTGCCTATCTCATCCAAAATGATTGGCTATAAAATGAAAATGTCACATTGACTTATGTAGGGATAGGCTTGTGATCTTGGATGTGGAACAAGCTAGCTTGAAGGAGTTCTAACCTACCTCTAATGCCTGTTTTATAATCCTCTCTGATTCAGTTCTCCACCTCCATTGAGTACCATCAAGCTAAGGTGGCATGGGGTTGGGTCAACTCCAGTGTAACAGCTGGAGCTGGCACAACAGCTGAGCCCCAATGTAAATAATGAGGGCATGATAGCAGATTACATTTTTGCTAACCACTTACCAGCACAGATCTGTGTTCCCCTCTCCAGCCCAGCAGACTCATGCCAATAATAATGTGTGTGTGATATGGGGTTAATAGTCTCATACCCAGAGTATTCAGTGTTCTTCTGAAAGTCAGAGTGACGACACGTGTGTGTATGTTAGTGCAAAATTTGATGGCATATGTATGTGTCTGTATACACTCAGTGGAGCTCCAAGTTTCAGATAAAACTGAAGGTTCAAGTCTGTTACGCAGACTGTAACAAATATAACCTGGCCAATGTTAAGGAAACATGATTCATTGTGTCTGACTCATGACAGCTTCTTAAGCATAACAAGGGTATAACCATGTGCTGTAGCTAGCTTACAGTGCCTGATGTTAAAGTGAGGAACAAAAGGGAAAATCATTGTATTCTCAACAACAAATACTCTGATCTGTTTCTTTCTGTTATCCTCAGAACTATAATCCCTTCCTGCTTTTCACATCTAGCTGGCGTAAGGTTCTTCTGGCGGCAGACATCCTCCAGTACCTCATCAAGTAGCCATTCATGTGTGAGCTTTGGGAGTCAGGATTAGTAAACTATTCAGTCACAGAGGGCATCTCAGCCCGGCCACTCCTGCCTTCATCTGAAGTCCACACACGTTGAAGTTCCAGCAAAGGTAGTGATCAGGAGCAGGAACACTAGATGATCTCTAACCCAGGACAATTGTAGTACCCCAATAATTTAACACATTGGGTTGTGTAACAATGACACATAAGATCATGACCTGCATAATCTGAACCTGCAAATTTTCACTCAGTATATCTTCATGGGCAGTGTCTCTATCACAAGGGATTATGTGATTTTTTTTTGCTTTATATTTTTGTGATCAAGATCTTTTCAAATTAACTGGTTAAAACAAAGCTCTAGCAATGAGCATTCTTTCCTGGTACTCAGACAGTTTCATGCTTCATGCTTTGAGTCAGCTTTGGGGAGAAAGATGATGAAAGCTAATGAACAGGAACACCTTTTAAATACAATTACAGCCTTTTCTTTGACGAAAGAAGTTGTGATACCCTGACGTACTGAAACAAGATTGTTCTATGTATTATGCATGGAGGATCCCACAAGTCTGCACTGAACTGTCAAGTCACAACTCAGCGATTCTTTCTGTGCAGTGATTTCAGTTGCCATGGTTACATCTTCCTCTCATTAATAATGTAAAGTGGTATACAGTACTTTCAAATCCTTGACTGCTGTGGGACTTAACAGCTGGAACTGAACAGAACTTTGATGTGGCAAGAAGCCCAACATAATGCTATATATGGTGATAATTCAATGAATGTAAATAGTGGACAGATTAATCAAATCATGCACTTTGACAGAGGCAGGGAGCATTAATATGCAGCATAATATCGCACTCTATATTCGACATTTCTCATTTTGTGCTCACTAGAAGTGATGCCTATCCATCCACTGCAACTGGGTAACATAACAACAACACTTGGATTTATATAGGCCCATTCATTCAGGACAGTTTCAGAGTGCTTAACATTCCCCTGATTTTCTATTTTCCCTGATCATTTTGGAAATTGTGTGTGGAAACACAAAATACCATTTTTTTTTAACTGCTCAAAGGTGCTATACCGAATGTTATTATTATTAAACCCTGTGAAGCACTTTGAGACATTCTCCTGATGTGAAATGTGTTCTATCAGAAGGAAGGATTATTATTAACTGCGCAAAATAGAAACTGTAAATCAATACCACCTAAAAGTAACAACATGCGTTTTTGTTGTGGATGCAGCCTTTATCTCTTCAGTTTCAGATGATGAAAGAAAAACATCATATTGACTTGCATTGCTAGATTCCTACATTATACAATCAATAATTCTTTGTGTGAATAAAATACAATTTAAGCAGATTGAGTTCAATTCAAACCTGGTCTTGTCTTTTAAAATTCAGAACAACAGGAGCTCTATTTTTGAACTTTCTAAGTACATGTTTATTGTCCAAGTTTTTATATTAAAAAGCCTATATCTTATTTTTAAATAGTTAAGCAATCAATCTCCTAATCATCTAGTTGGCAAACCATCTACGTCGCGAACTACAATGATGATATGAGCATGTTTGTCATGTTTGTCGTTTTCCTGCAAGTTGCCTGGGAAATGGGAACAGATTGCAGTTTGGATGTGATGCACATACTGTAAATCAAATCGATGCAACTCCATGTATTGTGTTCAAAATACTGCAGATGCTGGAATCTGAAACAAAAACAGAAGTTGCTGGGAACACTCAGCAAGACAGGCAGCATCTATAGAGAAAGGAAAGTGAGTCAATGTTTTGGGTCCATGACCTTTCGTCTGACCTGGGGCATATTGGAAGGGAGAGATTTTAAGGACTAACAGTGAGGAGGGTGCAAAGAAGACAAAGGAGAAAATGGAGTAGAGAACAGGGGGGGTGGGGGTGGGAGGATGGCCATAGGTACAGTCGAAGAGGAAGGATGCAAGAGAGGGGGTGAGGAGGAGGGATTGCAGGATAGAGTTCCAAAGTGTGGGGGCAGAGATGCTGAATGCCCGACCACCAAAACTCCAAAATCAGGTGTTCATTTTTATCGGGCCCAGATTTGAAGTGAGGCAGAGCATGAATTACAAATTAGGTTACACTTCCAGGAATAACAGAATAAACACAACATTAAACAAGGGGAGTTTCACTTTCATAGAAATATAGGAAAAGGAGGAGCCATTCTAATTAGATCATGACTGATCTGTACCTCAACTAATCCTTTCAGTTCCAATTTCCCATTTTCTCGCCATATCCCTTAATACCCTGACCTACCAAAAATCTATCAACCTCACTCTTGAAGGTGTGGATGGATCCAGCCCGCTCCAATAACTATTCTCAAAAAAGGAAAGAATTGTGACCAATAGTCTATATACTGACAGGGTTTTCACCTTTGAAAGATATAAACACAAGTGTTTAAATAAGTTAAAATGTTATTTTTATTTCAAAGTAATATCTGTGGGTAACTTTTAAATGAACAGGGAATGTATGAGGTTTCCTGACAAGCTGATGTGACCGTTATGTACTTGCACCATGTAAGATATTATGAATCATTAAATATTAGTGTTTACAGGCCAAGGAAAAAGTGTAACAAATGTGCATTTTATTGTTTTATCATGTACTTAATTAATGTGAGTCACATGAATAATTAATGTGAGGAGAAAAGCGTAAGAGCGGTAGATCTATTGTGAATGGGGGTGTGTGATTATCAACCTGGATTCAAGCCCCTTCTGACCCCAACTCCCAGATTGGGTCCAAAAACCTCTATTGTCCAGCGCCCTGGGACCTCTTTCCGACGTGAAAGGCGCTATACAAATGTAATTTGTTGTTGTTGTTGATGTTGTTCTGGGCATGTGGACCTTACACACACTTTGTTTTCTCTGTTGTTAAGTAGTCAGTTTGTATCAATGTCTTTGCATTTACATTAAGGTAAAACAATTAGTTCAACATTCCCAGGTTTAAGCTTCAGGTGTGAATTGCTCTGAAACCACCTCCTCCAAGTGGTGTCAGGAGTGGAGCTCCAGCATTATTCACACTACAGCAGTCCCCATTTATACCGCACGTTTGGTGGAGAATCAATGCCAAAATTACAACAGGTCACCAAAGTAAGTGATCGATAAACACAACACAGGGTTTTTCTCTCTCTTTCCCCATCCCTGCTATCTTGCCCAGAGGGTGGGTAAGTAATTGAGTTCACCTTCTCTACTGTTTTGACACCAGACTCAGGTTGGATCTTGCAGCTCATCGTAACATGTCAGTTAGCTCATCTGATGTCACTCCGGTACCTTTATACTGTGCAGCAGTGCGCTGTACATTATGAATCCTTTACACAATAGTGACCGTTTCTTGCAATCTATTTTTAGCAACGTGATGTTGATTGAGTATTTTCTGATTCGTATTGTTGTGCAACATTTACCTATGGGCAAATCTATTGTTGGTTTTGCAGGAGGCAGAAATCTAAATAATATGTACTTTTATTCACGTGCAATATTCTTAAATCGTTGCTGCCTTTATTTTTCTAATAATGTTTTATTTGGGGGTTTTGGTCTTAGGTGGGGTGGCAGCTGAAGAATCTTGTAAACGCCCTCCGAGAGGATCCAAATGGGGTCATACTGACTTTGAAAAAACGTCCACAAAATACACTTACTTCTGCCCCTGCTTTGCTGAAGAATGTGAGATGGAAGCCCCTTGCACTGCAGGTAAACAGAGCCCTAATTAGATTGCAATTCAATGTTCTCCCATTGAGGATCTGTCCACATAACAAATGCATCCAATACAAAGTGCTGACAAGTTCAGTTTTAACACAAAAGGCTAAATGGTTTGTTAAATGCACCATGGTAACCAATTACGAAGGAATCTTTGCATGTAGTCTATTTTTAGACTGGACTTTCTATTTCATTTCAAATGCAGATCAATGGTCAGCACTTAACCTTTATTCTTTATATTCTTGGTTACAAATATTTGAGAAATATATGGTAATTTTTGTCAGCGTTCTAATTAATCAAGTGATTCATCTATCATAAGCTAAAGTTACAATTCTTTTTGCTATTTATGGCTGATAATGAGTGAAGATTTGACCCCCAAGAGTCTACCGTGTTAGCGTATTATGTAGCGTGTTAGCTACATATCTTTGCTGAATTATTATTACACCACGTACTGTTGCATTTTTCATGCCATTCAAATGCACTTTTCGATTATCCAAGATCTTAAGGGTAATTTGAGTTGAGTATATTTTGACACACATTTCAATAGCAGCAGGGTAATTTGATACATTTAATAACTCATATATTTGCCTTGAGATTGTGGAACCATTTTATGATCCTCAAGATTAAATATATCTTAAAAATACTTTCTTGTATTGAAGAATTCGAGTCATGATTCCCTGAGGTCTCATTTAATGTTGTTCATCTCCATACACTCTTCATTTACAGAACTGTGTCACGTTCAGTATTGCGCTGTAGCATATGTAAAACATGCTTCAGTAATAAAGAGTGCAGCCGTCATACAATGGATTAACTTAACAGTGTCAAATGGTGATGTTCTGACCACTCATTTTAAGTAGAATCTCAATGTCTTTTCTTGCTAATGCTTCACCATAGGCCAGATGGTTCCTTCTGTGCTGAAGTGTCTATCATTTAATATTAAAATGTTGAAGGGACCAATTCTGAGCATTTTCTTATCTCCTAATCTCCGTATAAATGTCAACTTCCCTGCACTATCCCAGCATCCACTGACTTTCATTTATTGATGTAAAACTGGGGTTTCCACTGCTGTAGCAAAACAAGGGTCAGGTATTTGGAAGAAATTGAATAAACTGATGGCCATCAATGTGGGTGGTTTATTCAACACTCATTTTATATTCCTATTTTAAGCGATTGTAACTGCATGATTAATCTGTTTTCACTTTATATAGTAGCTGTAGCAAATGTAAACTGAAAACTCAAATAACCATATTAAGCTACCCTAGATTTTGTAAAGCTTCATAAGCTTTTATTTACGTAAATTGCTATGATTCATAATGATATTGCTCATTGACTTGACTCATTGGAGTCAATCAACACATAATATATATAAGTGTGTGGTGATTCCTTTGGCTTTAATTATACCATTTATTATCAATATTTATTCCAGTTTTGAACCCAGCGATTAAATTATTTGCTTTCTACAATTAACAGGACTAAATGATTACTAAAGAACTGTAACAATAGCAGACGTTTTTAAAATGTATTTTTGCAACGCTTCAAACACTTTCCTTTTGTAGCTTGATGTGTTTCAGATCATTAGTTTTTCACCGATTAATTCATTGGATTCAAGCATGATGAAACATAATTTCTGAAGTAAAAATTAATCTGTTGGCTGAGCCAGTGTCCAATTCTATAACAGTCGTAAATGAATTACACATTGATCCAAATTATAGGAGGAATGCAATTCTGCAGAGTTAAGCATCGTGCTTGCAATTTACCAAGGTTGGCTGAGAGTGCAATTACCATCAGCATCAGCAACTCACACTGCCTCATATGTAGATTTTTTCACACATGGAGAGATGGTAAATTTTGGGGAGGTCAGCCGGGTATCTGACACATGCGGAAACCCATCACCATGCTTAAAAGCATCAAGATATATTTAAATCATGAAATCCCCATGAGATGGTCATTCTCACACATAACTGGAAAAGGGAATCGAGCACCTAAAGATCTCAAGTGTTTCAAGTTTTAATTTTGTCACCATTAGTTTGTATTATTATCTCGCACAGTATAGCACAAAGACAAGACTCCTGGCCACAATATTGACTGAAATGTTGTTTTGTGGAAAATATCAGCTTCCGTTACCAATACATTTGTCCACAATGATGCTTGCGGGGCTCAGCACACATGCACAGCATGCAGGAAGTGATGCCAGTGTGGCCTCACAACACAAGATAGTCTTTTTTCGACATTGATGGGATAAGGAATGCATGTTTTCAATTTTCAGGTTAAAAAAAAAGGCTGGGTCCACAACCCGGTTTCATTATAAGCGAACCTGAATTATAACAACATTATAACAAATGTAAGGGGCTTTCCTGTAATGTGTTACTGTGTAATGGTATATATAAGGAGATGATTATATATAATTATCATAAAGTAGAAACAACCTGATAATGAAATAGACAGTTCTGATTTTTTGCAACACATGGTAATGACAGATGTTCCTCAGTGGTAGCTTTGCAGGGCTGAGCAATTTGTATCTGGCAGTAATCGTACATTTCTTTCATCTTCTTCAGCCAGTTATTCCAACAAGCCCTACAAGCAACTCCACAACACCAACAAGCACCATTGGCATGTCATCAAAGTATGACAGCTCAACACTCCACGATGTCTTTATTTTATCTCCCCTTTCAGGAATCTATGGTCCCAGGTAAGTCTTCAAACCAGTCATTTCCTGCTCTTTGTTAAACACAGATCAATTCTCTATGGGCATTCTGTTGTGTTGAAATTAAACTATTCTGTCTTTATGAATCAATAAATGCACCTGATGTTTAAGGTGCTCTGAGATGCAACCCGTGGGAAGGGCACTATGTAAAATGCAAGTTGTTGTTGATAATATTTAACATTGTGTAGCTTACGTTTTTCCTCATTAATGGGAATTAATACATGGAACATGAGAAAGACTTCGGAGCTGTTCCTGACATAGATATCCCCCTGTAATGGAGAGAGCTACAAGTAAAGAAGCAGGAGCTCATTGGTTTGAATCTCAGTCAGTGCTGAGTTCACTGAGCTCTGGGTCAGCTTTGATGTCCTCAGTATTCAAATACCCCGCCGACACTCACTGCCAAGGTTCACATGTAAACAATGGACAAAACAACCAGTGATCTTGGAATCACTCCCAAGCATGAGAAGGCTAGACCAAGAGCAGAGAATCATAAGCCAGTGGGGAGATAATTACAAAAAAGATTGGACACACTAACTTTTTCTTTAAAAAATCCCCACCATGTTTCTTCAAGTGTGTGCCTACTCGTCTGCACAGACAATAGAAATATTTACCATTGTTAAATTGAACAAATCTTTTTTGTTCTTATTTAAGGGATGAAATGGGGATTTTGCCGTGTGAAGACATTGGCAAGTACGGGATGGGAAAACCTGGCATCAAAGGCTCCGAGTCTTCCAGCTACTTTCTCGACCATGAAAGTGGGAAATACTATACACTAATTGAAGGTGAAGGATTGCCCATGACTTCTGAGTATGAAAGAGGGAGAGCAACAGGAGTCCGAAGAAGAGAGAAAACACCGACTCACGGTTAGGTTACATACATTGTTTCTTTGTTTTTTAAGTAACTGTGTTTTCCGTCTCCTGGAGATGGTGTGTGTTGTGGGGAGATCTCCTGAAACAAAATAATTTGAGAAGGAAAAATAAATGAAAATGACTTAAAAATGGATGCACATACTGTTTATTTGGCTCTGTTTGGTCAGAATTATCCAATTTTCAGTACAATTTTCATACTAAGCCTAACTCTTTGACTGCTAACATGGCTACCTGAATGTTTACCTACCAAACAATTCATTGTTTTTCAGGGCTTTGTATAAACAGAGATATTTACAATGAGAAAGGAAGTCCTTTAGAGACTTTGCTACTGGAAAAACCTTTCATAAATAGTACCACCATTTGTCTAACTTTCTATCTCTCACCCGCTGCCTTCCATAGAATGTGACAAAATGAGCCAAATCCTTAAGATATGTTCTCTCATTTAGGCAAGGCCCAGATACAGAATAACACCAAGAACAAGGAAGAACATGGGAAATCCAGAAGAGTAGATAATCCAATTTAGATTTCATCTAAGTGTAACCTACAAGTTAATTGTGACATAAAATTCTTTCAGAATTCTGAGTTCAATGTGAATTTGGAGGACGGTACTTTTCAAGAACTGTGAAAGCTGGCTTGCACGTTAAAGCTGAATTTAAGGATTTTCCACAATTCTGTTTTGGTGTTTTCTTTATTTTTAATCATGATGTTGCCTTTTCACCATTTCCTTGTGATCAAAGTGATTGAACCCTCTGTTACAACTTATCATCACATAAGTTTTTTCCTTAAATGGATCCACTTCAAGCGTTTGTATTTCAGCTTCTGGTTTCTCATGATCACTTAATCCAAGTAAGATTTTGTTTCTCAAGGTTTATTTAGTCTTTCTTTTCACCATTAGCCTGTAATTGGTGATCCTTTTAATACTTGGATAGTTTTACTGAGTCTCTGACAAATGTAGGAAGCTTGTTTCTGCTACGTTTTCTCACCTTGCTTCCGATCCCTCTCACTTTTCTCACAGATCAATTTCTTATTCAGATCTTTTCTTCAGGAATGTAATGCTGCCCAAAGATTTGAATTACTAATAAAGGACTTTGGTCCTTCCTTTTTCTCAGGGCGAAATAAAATCAAAAATACTTAATTTTTCAGATAGCTTTGTCTCAACTTTTGAATGACATCTACTTTGCTTGGGTGTCTTTTTTTTCTTTTTAAGTAAGCCTTGTCTTCACACTAGAATTCAAAATTATTTAAATGCTTTCTGTCAGACTGTTCCATAAGTAACAATTTATTTGCCTTAGTCAGATAACCTTAAGATTTCTCTCCAGAATGCTTTGATCCTTCAGTCTTTCTCTGCTGTTTTCCATCTACTTGTCACTCTGTTACTTTTATTTTTGTTTGGTGTCTCTTTTCCTTTTCATGTGTTCTCCGAATATTTTTAGAATCTGAAATAATTTCTCTCTCCTGCTCTTTTTTCTCCATCATATTCCTTGACAGGATTCCATCTATTGTTTTTTCATCTATCTTTCAATTTTATTTAAAAAGGGTCTTTTTTTTTGCTTGAAGTTAACTTTCTTTGTCCCACATGTACATTAAGCATATCAAGTAAGCCAAAATGTGTCAAATTCTAAAGTTTTCTATCTGCAGGCACCTTTCCTCCTTTGTGTCGTTTTATCTCCTTCGCCCTGCCAGGTTTTGACATTTTAATCTCCATTATTCTTTCAGGCTGTCACTGCTTTTACTTTCTCTCAGAAAACCTGTATCTTTTTAAAGCTTTTTTTAAAAAAATCTCTAATCTCTGCAATCTGAACATGTTTTTCTCAGTTCTACTTTCTGTCTATTTCAGTATTATGTCAGCTATTCTGCTTTCAGCAGGTTTTCATTATTTCAAAACTTAAATGCTGTATCAAATGCAAGAAGTATTGAAACAACTTGCATTTGGGTAGCAACATGAGGTGGTCTCAAACAGCAAATTAATATTCTAGTTTCCTAGCTTTCTACAATGTTGAAATAATTTGAGCACAATAAGCAGTTTTTCACACACTGTCACTTCCCAACTGGGTCTTTAATAATAATTTATTTGATTTACTGGTAGAAACTCCACCTGGGTTTATATTTACTCTATATACATAACATTTCAGAGCATTCAGCATTTGGCAAATTCTTAAATACAGCCTTAATTTTTAAGGTGATTTCCTATAAGTTATTACTACAGAAAGCCTATGTCAAAGTTAAGAATAAATGCAACAATTTGGATGTTCTAAATACTACTTTAAATCTATACCGAGCTGGAATTTCACCCCAAACTCTTGTAATTGCATTGTATGTTGCAATGGCATAGATGCTGCACAAATTTGTGCTTTCTATATTCCACAAAAAAAGTATCTTTCGTATGCTCGTCATTGCACTGTTATCCTCCAGCACACACGTGGCTTCCCCCAATCACTCTCAACTTAAAACAACAAACACTGCACTTGCTTCAGTAATGATGGCAGAGCAATTTAATACCAATATAATCTCAGCAAATTATAATTTGAAAATGATATTCACGCCACAGGCAAATCTACATATAGAGGAAATCACACATATTTTCATCAACAATGTAATAACATGACTGCTCTAATGATGTTTGTTATGAAGCATTTGCCCGGAGTACCGTCCTGCTTAATAATGACAACTAACTTACCGATTCAAATCAGATCTAAAATATCAAATAAGATTTTAATTAAAAACGAACGGCAGGATATTGCACTCGTGACCTGATGCTTCTTTTCTTTCACAATTGTGAAGGATGCGTAAGATCACGAGTTGTAAAGTTCTTCTTCAGTGACCTGATAACTGGAGTGCAATGTCGCTTCTGGACATAATGATTCTCTACAATTAACTTATCCTTGTTAAGAACCTATACCGTGTGTCATTACATCAGAATATGGAAAGGAAAGAACAAGAACAGTCTATTTGCAGTTGTTTAGGTCAATGTTTAAAAGTCACACAGTCCGTTTTCATCTCTCTCAACATTTTGCACTGACTTTCTTTTCTACTTATTGTTGAGTCCCAAATCTGGACTGAAAATCTTTTCTGAATGATTCGACTCATCTGCCCTCACTTTTCTATGTAGCAGTCTATTTGCTAGACTGCAATTCCATGTTTGCCACTGCTCCTCAGTTATGTTTAACTCAGGATTTCCTTATCTTATAATAATGCTCTATATTTCATATCTTTTGGATTATCACAAAGAACATCCTCATATATACCCCAATGTGTGTGTTCCCTCATAGCTTTCAATTTGAAACCAAATGATGATTCTATTTTTAATGTTGACTGTCTGTGGGACACTGTTGTGCGCAATTGGCTGCCACGTTTCGCCCACAAAATATACAGTCATTTCACGCTGGAGTATATTCTGTGAGGTGCTTTAAGACATCTTGAAGACATGATAAGGTGCTATATCAAATGCAACGATTATTATAATATTATATATTGGGTCAATTGAAATATGTAAGAGGGAGATGGATAACTATCTGGTATGTGGAGGTATCAAGGGATATGGTGAAAAGGCAGCAAAATTATTTAAGTTGCAGATATTTTAATAAAATAATGGAGCAGGCTCAATAGGCTGAATGGTCTACTCCAGTTTCTATCTCCTTATGTAANTTTTTATTAAATTTGAATGCTGTTTTAAAACCGTATGTAGTAAAAGCTTGATTTATACACTGAATGAATGCTAACTTTGTAGTACAAACAAAGCTGCACTATGCAAAGGACACCAGGAGGTAATTCTTGGGGCTTCCTTTGGCAATAACTCCCTAAATACAAACAGTTAACATTGGTATAAACAGTATGCTTTCTATTAGTTAGAGTTAATAATCCAATATGCTGAACATATGAGCTTCCACTCAGCCCATCGAGTCTGGTCTGGCTCTCAGAGCAAGCCACCCTTTCAAGCTCACTGTCCTGTCCTCATATCACTTTCAGATCTACATCAACAAGAATTAAAAATGAACATAAATGTGGATATTAATCTATAGTAAAACTTATTGGTTACATTCAAAAATATACTTCTAGTCCATTCCTCGTACTCACCAATTTCTATGTAAGGTAATTATATCAAATCTGTTAAGCTTCTATCTTTTGATCTTCAGTCCTTTGATTTGTGTCAAGACATTCCCTTCCTACAATTTGTCACAGAATCTTATATAGAAGTTACTTCACTTTGTTTCATTGATATTCATTAAATTCACTATAGGTTGAATGGAGGGTTTGACATATACATTTCCTGCACCATTAGAATATTGCCCTTAAATTTAATCTTTATGAATTATAAATGGAGCTTGTTACATTCTCGGATAAAAATAGGCTGATAAAAATATGTATGATGCTCTATTGCTCTACACAACAATATTAAAACCCAGGAGACAGGTCTGACTAGTACACTTAATGCTGCCTTATACACAATCTTCACATCTATCGCAAAATATGCTCAGGTTGCTTTACACTTTACACATGTTGTCCTATTTCTATTCCATTACTCAAGCTGAGATTGATTCCGTCTTTCAAATACTAATAATCTAACTATTGCACAGATCCTTCATTATTCTTAGTTCAAAATGTGCAGCTTACTCCAGCATTTTACTTGCAATGCCTGTCCTGCAATCAATGATCATTGCAGTGCTGCATAACAATTCATGTGTTTCAGAAGTTTGAATGTACTGTTATAGTGCAGTGAACCCTCAAATAAAATATTCTATTTGAATTCCTGCCGAAAAGAACTCATTATAAGAATCCAGTCACTTCAGTAGTGTTAGGGCATGTTCCAGTTAAATTGTTACATTGCAAGTAATTTCAATTGCGCACCATATTTTTACAATAATCACAAACCTGCTTGCCATGCTTGCTTTCAAAATGATGATCTTTATTGCAATAGGACTGACCCACTTTGATTCATAATGTCACTGGAAAATCTTGGCGTTTTGTACAGTTTTTTTGCATCTTGCAGAAAAATGTTTAAGTCAGGCAATTGGGAAGCATGCAGAGAAATAGAGGTTATGCCACATAACAAGTTAGCAAAACGCCTCAGGATTTAGAGTTCTTCTGTTTTGTTACAAACTAGACTGCAGCTGAATTTAAAATAACGCTTACAGTTGAGTGAAGACTTTTATTTTGTTACTGTACAGCACAGTACAGATATGAAAAAAAATCTTTCTAATATTATTATCTCCCCTAGCGAGTGCTAATGCCCTGATACCTTACTTCCCCTTTTGGTTGCTTTTGTTGAATTAGAATGCTTAACTTTCTTTTTTGTTCTATTGCTACATTTAAGTTTGCTCGCTTCCTAAATCTTTATTGCGTGGGAGCTCTAATGTTCAGCAAGACCCCAATTTGTTGTTCCACTTGGCTGCTTCTCCTCATGGTGCCCAGTCCACTGCTCTCCTCAGGGTCTGTGGCAATTTCCAGCATCCTAAACCTTTTATAGGCCATCTGCATTCTGATGATATATATACTGCTAAGACTCAGATAATGACCCTTCGCATATGGAAGTGAATTCCTGGGAGCCCAAGTCAGAGTGCTGAAACTCAGATTTCCACAGGGTCTTGGTGTCTGCCTATTCAAACACAATTGTGTCTGTTCATGCTTGCAATTCCCAAACCTAAGGCACAGTTGTCGTAGTGTGTTACTGTGTGATTTGCAAAAGAAGAAAATTTGAGAACAATTTGCACCATAGTTGAAATGTAGCGGTGCCTTCTATTTCAATTATTGATTTTTAAGTGTTCACAATGCTTTAAGTAGTGGTCTGCTGAAGACCTTTCTCTTCGACCGCACCTTTGGTCACCTTCCCCCCCCACCCCCCCTGGATTCGTTACTGTGAAGCGCTCTGAGACGCCGTCCGGCATGGAGGGCGTTATATAAATCCAAGTTGTTGTTTAAAAAAATTCAATTGTAACAGCCTCCAAATTTATGGCTTATCTCCCATATGCTGGAATATCAGAGGTTAACATATCCATTTGAAGTGAGGAGGTGAGGTGCCTCTGTGGTAAATGAACAGTACCGAGGAAATACACTAAATATCTGTCTTTTAGCTACTGCAAAAGATATAGTATTTCATGATGACATCTTTGTCAAAGTCACAGAAATATGGAACTGTGCCCAAAATGTAATTATTGTAACTGCAAGAACATTCTTAGTGCATTCATACGCTTACTGCTTATTGCAATTGCTTATTGGGTTGCTTCTAGGTGACTTGAGGCCTGTATCCATGCCAACAGAGTACAGTTGGTTGGGAGAATCCAAGGAGCCCAACATGTATAAAAGAGGTAGCAGAGGTGAGTATCTTTGCTGTTGACAATTGTGGATAGGACAAGACAGCCTGCAACATTTAATTTTGCATTTTATAGGCAGTATTTCTTTCCACTAATGCTGTTGTTTCGAGGTTTGTGTAGCAACACTACCAATTTTAATCATTGCCAAGTAACATTAAAATGATGATTTGGCACTGGATATACCTATCAATTATTGGTGTATTTTGCACGACTGGAGTGCTTGTGCACTTTGGGACGTCCTCTCAACGTGAAAGGTGCTATATAAATTGTATTGTAATTGTTTGAATGCAACAAGTATATTCAAATATCGTTTGTTGACTTTTTTATTGTACTTATTGCTACAGAGCAATGCTGCTTGTGGCAATGAGAACCAATGTGGTGGGAGGTGATGGCCAGGTTCCAATAGCGTTCTTGCATTTTCCCCTTGTTTCCACCGTTGTCTAAAAACCTGGCAAGGATCCTGCTCCACTAAAGACATGTCTGAGAGGAGAAAGGAGAGGCTGTTCGGAAAAAATGTTGTCTTTAATTTGCACAAACATTTTTGAGTTCGGGAATCATTATGTTGTAGAGGCACTGACTTAATATCTGCATAGCTTTCTGGGTTAAAATAGATTTTGTTTTGCGCCTTAAAACCATTTTGTGCTCCACAAATATTAATGGCATAAATACCCCAAAGTTGAATCTTGCATTTCTCTTTTTGTTTCCATGGCATTTTCCTAAATTCAGGATGGGTGGGGGGAGTGTTGTTTTCCTGCATCCTGCTTCTTGGTATTAAAAATTATGAACTCCTTTAACATTAAAGGTTTCTTTTCAATATATCAGGGTGAGGTTTTATGGCGTGAGCAGTGAAGAGTAAAGTACAAGGCCATTCATGAATAATGGAAGTTTTTGTTTCTTTCTCCAGGCTTCCTGGTGACACACCATTTGTTTGCCCGTGCTTTCCTAAAGCTGCAGTTCAGAACTATTGCAGTTTGCTTTTTTGCCCCCAGACATATTTGGACATTTGTGCAATCAGACTAGATTTGCTTCATCTTTTTACTGCTCAGTGGGGTGTGATATTTTAGATTGCAGTGAGCCACACAGCTCGAGGCAGTACAGTTTTTTTAATTACACCGAGCATAGCTTTCTATCAGTTACTTAGTACATTAGGTACAAATGTTATGTCATATTACAAGTGTAATATACATCTTTAATTCAACGTTTTAAAACGAACACTTAACTCAAGTTACCTAAGAAATTCCACCCTGCTTAAAAATGTTCTTTCAATGTTGATCCTATCCTATGCTGTTCAATACACTTCAACCTGTATTTCTGTAAACCATTGCACAATTGACATGTCAAATAACCTGAACTATATTGGAAATCGACTTTCCATAATATTGTACCACAATTAGGAATCATCAGATGTGAACATGATTCAGTCCTAATGCATGATTTGCTCATTCCACCGCTGAATAAATATGCTTAAATTATTTGATTCAGTGCTTATTAGGCATATGTAAATAGGACTAATTTTTTTTAAAGAAAAATAATACTGTGAAAATCCGTTTTGGCCCATTTTGAATTGTATTTGGGGTTTTCTTTTCATGTAAATTAAGTTCCAACCTTAAACTTTCACAGGCACCTTATTCATTGATTGTTGAAACAAGTGTCATTGCTGTTGTCCCATCCATCATGACCTTTTCTGGCTATGAATTTTGTGATATATTTCAGTGGTGATTCAAGACAAAGCAGTCTACAATTTAACCAGTTAATGAAAGAATAGCTGACACATTGAGTTCTTAGCACACCTGAATCCATTTAGTGTTATGCTATTCATTTGGCTCACCTTCCAGTTTCCAGTTGCTGAACACCCTCTAAAAAATATCTGAAGCATTCATTATCAAAGTGTACAGTATGCAAGTACATGTACAGTATAGATGTACACATTTTCAATGCATTCAGACTAAGGAAAAAGACCAAACAAGCTGGTTCCGTCTTTTATTCATCCAGTTTGCAGTCTCCTCAGTGTCCCTATTCCTCAGCCCAAAGACCAGATCAAAGTCATTATTATTTCCTTTGCAGATCCTCTTGAAACTAGATTCCTGATAATGGGCATCACTGTATTTAAACATTTGTTTAAACATAAAATTTTACTTTTTTTGTTAAATTCCATTCTTCATTTTTTTAGAGGAGGGAGTAAAACATAAAGGAGGAAAATCTGAAGCATTGTTTCACCAAAGCAGAATAATTAAAATGTAGCTTTGGCAGAGGTAAAATAATCAGCTTATTTCTCAAGAGTCTGTCCAGCAGAGCTCAGACCAATGATTTATTTGTGTTCACGTTCACTTCAGTCTTCTTAGACAGTTAGCCATCTGCTTCTGCTCTCTAAATTTTAACTTACTACTGAGCTAGATTTTTGCTTATTTGCAATTTAACTGGAGGTAGAAGAAGTGGCTTTTTGACTAGGGAGCCTAGATGGGCAACATATAAGGTTGGCATGGTCTAAAATCACTATGGTTATTAAAATGTGCGATAAACAACAGCAGTAATAACAACAATTCACATTTATATAACACTTTTCAAGTCGGGAAGACACCTCAAAGTACTTCATACAGCTGACTGGATGCTCAGTCGACTCTGAATCAACTAATTGTAACATGCGGACCCAGCAAGGAATTTAATTGTCAACTGGAACATTCTGATTGACAGAATTCATGTGCTCATAACAAAGTTTGTATCACAATACCCAGTCAACAATCCCTGGCATCGATAACTGATGTAACTTAACAATATTACAAGGTATCATCCATTATTAACAAAGAGTGATATTTACTGCACCAGGAACTATTGATGATCAAGCTTCAGTGCAGTGAATTGGAGATCTAATATTGCTGAAATAAATTAAGACAGCAGCAATGTGAGTTTCTGATATAATTTAATTTTTTTTAATTTAATTTTTTTAATTTTTTAATTTTGTTGCTTTTCAATGTTATCTCTGCCGAAGAGCAAAACATGTAATCCCAATCCTCTCGTCTCTTGCCATCTATATGCACATACCTTTCAGCAGCGGCCTCTGCTTAGCAATCAGTGGATTTTCTTTTCTTTTAACCTGGTCTTCCTGGAGTCTGTTGCATTGCCCAAAAGGGTGCCCAGTCTGAGATCATCTAATTCAGCACAGACCAGCATTGAAGTCTGCAAAATAAGGCCATAGGGGGAACTAACTTTAGTATTTTCAAAGTGAAAGACAATTACTATGTGTAATGGGATGAGGACGCCATATTTCCACCTGGCTACCTTCTTAAGCCTGATGCAAATATCATATAATATTTGATCAAAATCATTATCTAAATGGACTTTCTAATACCGATCCCACTATTGTTTCAACTGCAAATTTTTATGGATTCATATGGAGCCAATTCAATTTAATTAGTGCAAAATGGAAACAACCCTGCAGTCGATAATGCAGTCTAGCAGGCTTACTGTGATATTTGTTCCCAACATGTTAAGTCATCAAACACCAGAAAGGACACTTTTCCCATTAACAGCTTGGTCACCATTTTATTCACCTTGTTTGTGGCAGAATAAGCGAGATGTGCACTGCATGATGTTCCCTGACATGAAGAGAAATTGCCACCTGCTTCTCTAAATACGCTGTGATACTATTGTTTTTTTCTGGTGCCAAATACATGGAAATACACAACCGTGAAGGCATGGGATACCAGCAGCAATAAACAAGCACCATGCAGTCTGATCCAATTACCTCTGGTACCAGCACAGAGTGCTGCTATAATAGGTGTAATTTTACCTCAGACTTAGTTTGAATGCCATAGCTTGGAGAATGCTTTGACTTGGTTATAAATATGAAGTTGTGCTGAGGATATCTGAATTTTGTATGGAAATTACTCGGCTGTTCATAATCTTGTAATAGCAAGATACAGATATATTGTTTAATTTTATAACTTAAATTTTTTACAATTCAATGAAGTCCAGATTTCTACCATGAATCTCTCTTTAGCCATGATGAGAAAATTGCTTCTTTTAATGTACAGCCAAATTTCCTTGCGATGCATCATAGCATTCATTCGCTTTAAATTCATGGTAAAATATCAATAACCACATCCGAAATCCCTTTCATTTTTCATCTTTGCAAATGAACATCCCTTTATTGGTATCTGTTTCATGATTTTCTTCAATGCACATTTCAATCTATCATTGTCTCTAGTTACATATTTCTTTCATAATCACATTTACATTTTTTAAACTATGGTTGGACTGATGTACCTTGATGTTAATTCCACACAATGAATGCATCATATCTGTCATTTTTATTTAGTTTATCTTGTTCATTATTCTTAAAAAAAAGTTCCAAATGGTTGCATATAATCTATATGTTGCTACGATGCACTGTTTAGTATTGTTCTACTAAATTACCTCAAGCTCTTGTCATTGAACTATGCAGCAAATTGCTGCAAAGATTACCATGTGGTTCTGAAATATTGCAAACTACTTTGCCTTGTTCGGTTTCACCTGTTCCAGGGGTTGTTATAAACCTTTCGGGAACTCTCTTCAATGGGCATGTTTAGATAGCATGGACCTGGTTTTAAACACAACACTGGCAGTAATATTTGAAAACATCAGAATTGTTTCAACTAAAGTTGATGCTGAATTTACAGCTCAATGTGAAAGGAGTGGAAATTGTGGGATGTAAAAGGAACAAACTTATGTTGAAGATGTATAGAGAGTGTGCAATCAATAGTTATGAGAGTGGAGGTGTCATAACAGTTAAAAGCACTTTGTGGTCCATTCTGAAAAGAAGTGCTTGTTTCTTTATTGCATAATTTTGAATGTCATATGAGAAATAATAACTAAAAGTAGATAACAATACATGTTTGCTTGTCTCCTTAAAATGATAACCCACCTTATTAACATGAAATTATGATTAATATTAGCTATTTTCCACGTAGAAAGCCACTTTCACTTGTGCCATGTTAATATGGTCAAACATAACTCAATACGATTTTGAATTACGTGAGAGCAAAATATTTACATTCTATATTTAATGCAAGATTATTCAATCAAATTATTTACCTTACATTTTGGTAATCATGACATTTTGTCAAATAGCTCAATGTTTTCACAGATTTTCAGGGGAATTTGGAAATTTCATTTATAGACTCCAACCTGACTTGCCTGTCAAACACTGTGTGTCAAGTTCAGTGAATGCACTCCGCTGCCAACATCTGTAATCATCATCTCTGGAGTCTTACCCTCAATCTCATTTTGTGCACATTTTGTCAGAATCTCCACTAAAAGATGACGTGCAAGACGTTGCAGCGCTTCCAGTTTACTACTGAGAATAAAATGATTCGTTGGACAAGAAAAGGTTGACGCCTGACAATGAGTAAAATAATCCGTCAGGCCACAGAATATTTTGCTTTTCTTGTTAGACGTCCATAGTGTCTTTTGTTTTGGAAGGAATGGCAAATTCATTTGATTTGGCCTTAAGACTATCCTATTGTAGGAAGTATGCCTTCCGTTTGCTGTTTAAACAGGTGGATGAGAAATTCATGGCAATAGATTGCCCTACTGCTCGACAGTTCTCATTCTTAGTCCATGGGATGTTATTGGACGTGATTGCTGAGAGGAGTTCAATATACTCAATCCTGATTGAATACACTATCTGTTAGCCGGTGAAATAATTGAAGTTACAGTCACAGCACCGGGGCCAGCAATGTGCATCCTACTCCTCTACACATTCCGATTTTCATGTTTCAGGTGGTCATACATTGGAGTGTTCTTCAGGGAGATAGGTCTGAATTATCTTTGATTTCCACGACTTGACTATAGCTATCCAAATGATTTGAGGATTTGAATTTCTTACCCCAAAGATCAGATAATAAAAATGATGTCAGCCCCAGCCACAAGGTGTCAGCTTAGTTTAATTTTAGGTCAGAGGATTGTGGGTTCAGACACCACACTGGGCCTCACAGTCCAGGTTGACTCTCCAGTGAATTACTTGTGGAATACTCCATTATAGCAGGAACCATCGTTCAGATGAGACACTAAAAGAGGTCCTGTTTGCCTGTCCAGATGGACATTAAAGATCTTGTGAAACAATTCATCTTTTGATTCTTTTTATGTCTAGGTGTTATCTACTTAAAACATTGACATCCTACAAACGTTCGCTGATTGATTATTTGACTCTTATTCGAACATTTAAAGAAAAGAACTTTAAATCCTTCAATATTACCCAAACAATGCATTCATGTAATTGGTGTTACATGGTATTGCAAAATATACAGGTTCATGCTTGCAAAAAGTAAAAGCACTGCTCTTTGATGTGGCCACGTAACAGGAAATGGGTTTTGTATAACTGAGAAAATAGAAATTCATATGCGATTAACCTGTTCCTTTTTTGAGCTAGAATAGAGTGGGATACACTTGAGTTCTCGGAGTTGATTTTATTGAATTGATACTGCAAATAACTTATTGTGAAGTGTTCCTTGACTTGTCGTGCCTGCCTCCGTTAGACGATTAGATGATTAAGGACAGTGATGTCAATTTGTGGTTGCCTGAATGGCTTAGAGGAAGTGAAAAGCCAACTATCATTTTTAGAGCGTGCACCTAGAAACTGCCTGCACTTGAACTTACCTCTTTTTGGTTTTTATCCTCATTTGACTCAGACAATTCACTTCTACGATACCTGAGTGATGATAAGATCCTGATTATTCAAGAGGAGCCTGTGACACAGAGGGATAGCAAAAGAGACACAGGCAGAAGATCCAGAAAGAAGAGTAAGAACCCAGGAAGCCCCAGTTACCCTATTAGTCCTTCCGTGCTGGCAACTACTGTGCGACTTGATCCTGCTTCACAAGACATCTTAAATTTTCCATTGCCTGAAAGCAACACTGTGCCTCTCTACCATGTAAGTTTTTAAAACTGTTATTCAGATTTCATTTTACGTTGAGATTATCAGGCCAATGGATTTCCTAGATTCCGGTATAACATTTCGGTTAATTTGGCTTTGAAAAGCATGTTTGGATCTTACGTTTATAACTATGTTCTAAAGTATATCTATTCACTTCATGGAAAATCGTATTAATGGACCTCCCTTTAAATCCAGTAGAGTAAGGTTTTGCCAGTGGCTGTTAATGCAATACATTCATGCTTTGCATTCAGTATCAGAAACTGTTTGGATCAATAGTAATTTTCTATTTTAAGCCCCTTGGAAATGCTGCAAAGGAATACTAAATACTGACTCTGAATCTTAAGTTAAAGCTAAGATTGCCACTATTTTATAACTAAACTGGTGGCAGCTTTCCTCCTGTATGACTCTTTAATAGCCATTAATCAGGGATGACTTATATCTGTGTCAAATGCATCTAAACCTATGTTTTAATAGCCAGTTGGTGACTTTGTTATCTGCATGGTGTGCACAATAGTTTAATTGGCTACTCTTAAATCCGTTCTACATGAAGCATGAAGAAAGTTTGCTTAGTAATGTAGGCAGAATTAATGGGATTTAGTACTGTATAATTCTACCCATGTTTCTGTTCAAAACCTGTCTTCCACTGTGTTCTCTGTGGTTGGTTGGATATACTACTCTTGCTGTGTGTTTTACCCAAAGAGCTAAAGTGCTGGGATGCAACACTTGTTTTAGCATAGAAAGATCAATAACAAAGCTGATATTTTGTGTGTGTGTATATATCTAATATATATTTGACAGACTTTGTATATTTCACAAAATATCCACGTCTAACAAAGCTTATTTTAATTGGAGTTCTAAATAACAAGATGATGTTGTGCAACAAGAGGATTGATCAGATGTGCTCATGAATTAAACAGGGCCAATAAAATGATGGGCAATATATTATTATATACTTTATAACCAGCATTGTTCGTGGTTTGTTTAATTTTGCTCTAGTCATGTTCAGACTCCTTTGTGTGAAATGAAATGAGCTTGAATAAAAGATAAATTAACACTTGTTTTTATCACAGTAATCAGGTGCAACACAGTGCGATTGGTATAAAATATAGGGCCGCAAATCAAGAGTTACTGCCGTTGCACTAAAAAGAGTGGGAGCAGCAAAAAAAAACAGTTCTAGAGCAGATAACAAAAGACGTTTGGCAAAGAGATGACTTAGAGTTTAAGAGCAGAGAATGACAGTATTTTATTACCTTTATATAGAATGTTACAGTTGGTAACTCTCTCCAAAAACAGTACTGCATTTGTTGCTTATAGAGAATTGGCTTCTTTTCTGGTATGTATGTGTGTGTGGGGGGGGAGGAGGAGGGAGAGACTCTCTTCAATGAGATTTCCCATCTTAGTTTGTATTTTGTGTTGAAGCTGATAGCTCTTTGGATGCTGCTGTAGGCACAGCCATGAATGATTTCTGATTTGTATAAAAATTAATCAGGTAACACAAAACAGGGAGGGTTACTCCATTAACCTGTGGGCTCTCATCATGTGATGAGAGAGTGACAGAGGTTTATTTGAAAAAAGAACACTTGCACTTTGCCTGCTATTCCCTATGCACATCAATTAGTATTGTATAATGGTATCATTGCACTGGCCAATATTACATTTTACTGGTAAAGACATCTTGTCAAGAATAAACAAAAAGGTTTATATCAGATTGATGGCCATGTGAGACTCATCAGCGGTTCAGATGAGGTAATAAAATGCAGGAAGGACAGATAGAAAGCTTTTATCCAGCTCCTGGGTTCAGTGGGGAAGATGTTAATTTTGGAATGAGGTTGTGAGTCTCAATGATTAAAGCAGATCGACTATTGCAAATAGCAGTTGTTAAGCAACGACCAAATGGTGTCCGTTTGCCAGTGATTTAACCAGGTGCAGACATTTGAATTCCAACTGTGCGTGCCATCATTTGGTAGTGACTTGTCCCTACTGGAGATCCGTAAAATTACTATTTCTGTGCCAGACGTCTGAGAAAGATGCAGGAATGAGTCATGCATTTAACAATTATAATGATAAACTGCTGTATGGCAACATTATGTTCTTCCTTTGACTGATAACCCTGTTGAAAGGAGGATTCCTAAAAGCAAGGCACAAATTTGTCTCACACATAGTATTCATCCGTTTTCTTTCTTTAACAATGTGTATGACAGTACGTTTATACACCTTATCCTTCAAGCTATTATGTGGGACAACTGATTTTACTATTTGTTAATGCACAATATATGTTTCTATCTATCACACCTGGATTTGCAATCAAATCTTAAATGACCAGCTTATCGTTGCAAACACTGTCTGGCAAGTTTCCTGCTGCTTGTCCAGCTTGGACCATCCTGCCTTTTAGGGCTTTCACCCCTATAACATATTAGGAAAGTGTAACAGGTTAGGAATAAGTTTTCATTCCTTTGGATACATAAAAGTCATTCAGTCAGAAATATATTTGTCAAACAAACTAAATAAAAGGAAATTGCAAAATTGGGAAGAGGTTTGATTTTGCAAACGGAAGTTTTGAGATTGAAAAATCCTTCAGAAAAAAAATGCTGAAACTTCCAACCTATGGTAAACCCTTATCATATCAATGGTAATTGGGTTTTGCTTTTAATCAAAAATATGAAAGAAATATCAAGAAAATTGTTCATCTAAGTAAACGTAACACGAAAAAAAATGTTTATATTGGAGTTATAATATTCAATAATTGTTCCAGGTTTTAAGAGTCAAGTTGAACTTTTAATCCTAATAAAAAGAATTGCTGATCAAGGTACACTTTTCAATGGAATGTGTCGAAGCCTACGGAAATTCAACAGAAATGAATAAATTACACTGAAAAGGCATTTGCAATCTGTAAACCAAAATGATTCATCGTATTGTTCAGAAACCCATTAATACGAGGCAAAATTAAATTCAAAATCTTGCATCTTGGGCACTCGCTGAACTCACTAAAAATTGTGCAGCAGAGCTCGACATTGATAAAATAGGTGAAGACTCCATTAGTCAAATTAGTGCCTTCTCTTTTATTAATCACTTCACTCAGACTGCTGAAAATGCTGAGAGTTAAAACCAATGTCTACAGTGGTGCACTGAATGAATGTCGATATTACAGACTGACACCTGCATGAGCAGACTGATTCAAGATGGTGGCAAAGGCATAAAGTGATTTTATTGTATTGAAATGAATACAGCCTGCATCGAACGTGAAATACTTTAATTACGACTCCAGTATTTAAAGTAGATTGCACCTTTCAATTAATTTCATGCTTCCCTAGTATTTCATTTTCGAGTTTTTGCTTGTTCTGTCTGTCTGAAGGTCATTCACAGAACCGTACTTATTTTAAAGTATCTTTCTGACATTGTACAGTTCTTCTACACTGAGCTGTGCAATAATAATTTTACATTGCAACCCATGAGAGGAGACTTGAGCTCAGATCTTCCATGACGGAGAATTGATTTACTGAATAATCTCAATTTACATAAATATCAAAGAATTAGATTTGAAATATTTTAATTCCTGTCCCAGCAAGCCTCGAACATTGTGTCTAACATTGATTGGCAAACCATAGCTACATGTCTCAATATAGCTGTCTGAATATTCATTTCATTTGCTAAAAGTACTAATGCATTAAATAACTAATTCATATTAGTTCTAGTATCGTACAGTAGATACGTAAAAGCATAAACCAAACCTTTATTACAACTGACTTTGGTGCCTGCATTTTCTTTTCTCAATTCCATTTCTTGGCCACTCTCATTCTTAGTCTAAGAGTTCCTGAGGAAGGTTATCTTTTGTTTATGTACTATTTCTTATTTTTTTTGTAAAAAAAATTAGCCATATTATTCAAGTCTGCCAAAGTTGTATAAAAAAATTTGCACACCCTAATCGTTTAAATGGTTAACAAATGATGCCTTGTTATCTAATGATGCTTACATTCAAGACAACAATTCTGTGCTTAATTCAGTGAATGAACCAAAAAAAACTGGGATAAGGAGGTCCATTATGTACGTTCTTTAAATATATGTGGTACAGAGGGAATTAAAGGTGCCCCAAATTATGTGGTTAATATCCAATTAAGTCTCCGCACATGGTTTACACAACTCGCAGAATAGAGCTCATAGTTAATTAAATGCGTTTTGCAATACTTTAGTTTGTTATAGAAAACTGAGGAGTCTCTACAGTGAAGATATTAATAAAATACCTGCAAGCAAATCTGTACATCAACCATTTAGGGATACTTGCTTGAATACTTACTTGCTTGGCACACAGGTAATATCAGCTGGTGAGAAGATGAAATCAGTTAGTACAGTTGCTGAATAATGTCCTAAGTATTGGAGAGAACTGGATGGTCTGCTGCTTGTGCTGTTCCTGTTTCTTTAAATTCTGGTCACCGTACACTGCTGATAAATTCTGGATCTTTGAAAAGAACGAATCGTGTTGTCTTCATTAGTTCAAGCTGTTTACTTAAGGCAAACTGACTTGAGAGTATCCAGTATCAAACATTTTAGTTCTCAAACCCCATTGCAGGGAATACATTGCCGGTCCCATCATTTCTTCTCCTGCAGCTAAGTAAAATGTTTAATCGGGATGGAGAGACAATTTTGTTTTGTGCACAGGGGGAAAAAAAAGGTTATTTTTCATAAGCAAGGAAAACTGGCTTCCAAACTAAGATGGAACTTAAGGATTCTTCACAATTCTGCACAATCTTAAATTTTAAAGCGAAATGATTTCAAAGTTTGTCGAGGCATTGTTATCCAATAAAATGACCTGCCAAACAAAATTCATTAGGTTGAATTTTGGCTGTAGTCTAACAGGTCATTTTATTGGATAACAATGCCTCAACAAACTTGATTTTTTACACTATTTGTGTTGAAGAAAGATTCCAGCTAGAACACAGGCATGAATGAAATGTTGTGATGAGTTTTTAAGATGTATATTACAGTGATTTTGCATGCAGGCT